GGTGGAGAATCTCGTATAATTTCTTTATTGCTTCTTTCTGACTTTCTCTAAACATTCCAATCTTCATTCTGCTCTTTTATTCAAATGGACAACCAAAAGACAGCAACCAAAGATGGCGCACGAAATGGCATGGTTAATGGTTGTAAAAACCGAATCGATGGTTTCCGCAGTTAGAGTACGACAGTGAGCTGAACCTACACAATCCTGGAAGATTATGTCAGACATTGAAAGCACAAAACGTATGTCCTCGTGCGGGAAAAGAGCCAGTTTCAGAATGATATTCATTAAAATGTTGGATAGAAAATGCGAAAGAGAGAAAGAAATTCTGACGTGCCTAACTCGTAGGAACCATAAACCCAAATTCAGTTTCGGTTGTTCGTGTAAACACCCCCCGGAACATCCTACAAGGAGAANNNNGAACCCAATGCCACCTTCAGATTGAGGGCAAAAGAAATTTCGCGTTTACGGAACCGAAGACTGTGTTTATCAATTTGTCGAAGGGGAAAATATGGTGGATGCAGCATTGGGAAAGTCTTAAAATAGCCTGATTCTTACTTAAGCACTGTTCGCCTGTGGTAAACAGTCGACGGAGTATGAAACAGGCGAAACACTTGGAAGGATGTTGATCCAACAAATACCTCGATAAGGTGACCTATTCACTTTGTGAAACCTACGATTCTACATCATTCAGAGCTAGAGGAAGCAACCAATCCGGGTGAGGCCCGAATATTTTTAAGACAACCCGTCTTCCGACAAAATTCCAACTCCGGAGCACCGGTANCAAAATTCCAACTCCGGAGCACCGGTATCAACTGGTAGTTACGTCACTGAGGCAGATGTTGGCGAATCCAATAGCGATAGAGACCAGTTGAACGGTGGCTTGAAGTTTTCTGCCCATTGTGCACCTTGTTTCACGACTAAAGACCAAGGGTAAGGATTTCTGGTATTTCTTCAGCGAACAGTTTGAAGCAGTAAAGAAAGATTGCAGTAGATATCATCCTTCAGTTTCGAAGAACTAGAATCTCCCTGGCGCATACACGGACAAGACCAGTTAGGAGCATCGTTTCATTGTGTTGCTGTTGAAAGGCAATAAACCGTCGAAACAGTACACAACTGACTGAGATGAGATCCCGTCGAGTAATCGTGTCCGAAGGCTAGCCTGCAGGAACCATTGGACAATGCATATGGGTAGACAGGCAAAGCGTATTAGATGTGATCGTAACGGCTCCAATGGATTCACAGTTACTTTAACTTCAGGGGGTTGAAATGACGGGGAACAATTGTTACACGTGTCACTGGATAGGGCTCGTCAACGTGGTATATGAGCTACGGTGGGTTGATATTTGGAGAAGTTCACGGACGATCGGAACGTACATGGCTGTTCGAACCCGGTTTTACTAGACATACAATTGTGTGATGATGTATCGGGAGGGGGGGGAGGCGGACGCCATAGTTACAAAGACTTACTGTTCAGTGATGGTAACCAGTAACCTCAGCCCCGGGACTTGGAATGGTGAATCCCAAAAGTCTCTCCACATGGTATTGAAACGGACAAAATAAATATTGTCTACCACCAAACTTGGATGACGGTGGCGGGGCTCGAACTTTAGATCAAAGCACGCCGGTGACATCGACTAAACCACTGCGCCATCAGCACCCATTTATTTAGTTTCTTTGCGTGTCTAACCCTGTACTTGTCCATATATTCCCTTTTTTAACACTTTTCCGATTAAAACAAGTAACAAAATATGAGCAGAATTGATATTGGCCATCAATTTCTCGTGCCCTACATCAGCTGTCTACGCGCATTAAATAGGTCAAATCTTATCATAAGAATACCATATATGAACATTTTACAATTACGATTGTCTATTGTGATCATCATTTGTTTTTATTAGTTCACCGGAGGGACTAACGAGATATGGAAACAACCGCAAAACCAGGGCAAGGAAGAAGGCGAGTACTGGCTGCTCAAAACGAACATTAAAAACACGATTGATATCGATTAAGGACTGGAATTAAACTGATGATCGTTGAACGATCGTTTTCTGCTTAAAAATAGTGGAGCCGCGTATCAAGCGGATTCTACCGGATTAAATGTTGCTGCTGTTGTTGTTGTTCAAAATAAACCTATCGATTGAAATCCAGTCAATTTCGTTGTTAGCTCACAGGTGAGTATAGGATGAATTCCATGAAAACGGATAACAGGCGTACCAGTCTGTTACCAAGGTAATAGAGAGGAATTACAAACATGGTTATAGAATCACGTATGGCTTTTGTTGATGTGTTCTAGGCCACAGATTGAAGCGAAGATATCACTGGGACCGATTCTCACTGAATGCGTCAGCACGACCGTGACAGGTAGAGCGCGCGCGCGCACACACACACACACACACACGCCAAGCAACCGTAGAAACTGCCCCCCCCTCCACACACATCCCGCATTACCCTGTCCTGGCAACGAACGGACGGACAATAAGCCACAAGAGTTGACGGTCGATTTGTGGGAATCCAACCGGTGGTCAGATACGGCAGAACAATGACCAGTTTGCAAACCAAGAACAATACAAAACAATGGTTCAGAGTGATTAATTACATGTGTACACTCACTAAAATAATCCAGCATAAATTATTGATAATGGCTACTTAGCCCTTGCTGCATGACCGTTTCAATTATGAAACACATTAATGTGATCAATTCTAACAGGAACGTCTTTCTATAGGATGTAAAACATACACGGTTCCGGAATAGCCTCAGCAAAACGGTAGGCGCAGGAGAAAGAGGTGCTTGGATAAGCGGTGTGGCAAAATGGAATTTTTACCGAGAGGATAGCACGAGAAGAAAAATATTTATTATTGGGCGAATTCAACCGAAGGAGTTCAATCACTAGGTCATTAAGGAAGAAGTAAGTGACAAGCACAAAATATCCCCCGGTGGCGGGTGAAAGGGATAGGGAATTAACAATTAACACACAATCATAGAACATCTAAAGGGGGGGGCTGGAACATGAGGAATTTGGAATGCACTAACGTAGGTGACAAAACTCAGCACCAAAAGAGCAAGTGAACCTGACAGCCGCGGCATGTGGAGAATGAGAATGGGGCAAAGAACATGTATGGTCACATTTTCAGTTGGAGCAGCATTGAGTCGGACAGATGAGGTACTAGATACAACCGTTTAGAATCCATGTTCAAATCATTTTGAAATGGAGCTTCCCGGAGTGGCTTCTGGAGTGGCGTTGCTCCCACGAAGAGTTAGTTAGTTAGTTTCGATCTCGGATGCGGCGTTCAGCATCGGAAGTTGGTGCACTGATGCATAGAGTACATCAAGGAAACCAATGTATATACGTTCTACTGTAATGTGAACAGCAAACTGGAACTCAACGCGTCACGTGCTACTTAACACAACCATACACATACATGGTGGCCTTTAACCCAATCAGTCCGTCCTAGTTACCAAAAAGTTTCGACAGCATAAATACACATTAGAAACACCAAATCAATGATGAGTCATACCTAATTGGATGATGTGATGATGATAATGATGATGATGATGATGATGATGAATGTGATAAGTTGGACAGAGCCGGTTTTCTGTTACGCGAGTAAGGCTTGGCTAGCCGAAGGCTCTGATTGTGCATTCCTCGAGAAAATTCACTTGCTTAGGTCTGGCAACTTGGCAGCATTCAGTCCACATACAATTCATGGAGAATTTTCTTTTTCATAAAGATTATTTTACCATGATTTATTTGGTGCACAGTCTGGCGTCAGACGTGTGTGAAAATATGAAATTTTACCACAACCATCGAACGTTTTAACAAATAGGTGGTAGATGTTAATCGACCAAAGGAGAACCTCTTGAAAGATGTGTATCAAATAAAAAACAATTTTGTCACTGAACAAAACGAAATTACTAAATAATCAGTCAATCAAATGAAGCAATCGGTCCCATCATTGCCAATTATAGTAATATTGATACATAAACGCCTACAGATCAAAAACCAAAAGTATCACTGTGGTTTGGTGAGGACGAACAACGGTGGTGTGTCTTGATTGGAATGAGGTGACATACTGAACGCTTTACGTGAGTAGAATCACTAATACTGGTTAATTCAAGACACCGTAAAATCAATCGACGATGCTCTCGACAGTCGATCTGTTTGCAAAATCAGTTATCACGAAACGGATCAGTGAATGTGGCATAGGATGCATTCCAAGGATGTGTGCGTGTGTGTAAACAATAATAACACGACATCCGGGGGGGGGCAAACTAACCGTGCAGAATTTTGTGCTCAATTCCATCACAATCGGAGCGATTCCGGTGTCCTCAGACTGACTTTCCTGGCACAAGGCTTCGTCCAACAAATCGACAATCAGTTCAAACTGCTCCCATGTGAGCAATGCACGTTGCTCGTGTAGACATCGATCCGTACTGTTTGCCAGTTCATTGATAGCCTCGGTCGGGGACAGATTCGGTACGGGAATCAGGTAGCGTTGTAGTTCATCGACAAACAGGCGTCGGATTGGTCGTGACTTCAAATCTTGACGTATGGTATTTCGACGCTACAGAAAGCGATGGAATGGAAAGTGGTAGAGAAAATGAACAGTTGCAAACAAATCTGGTTCGAAGTAATGTGACGCCATCACTGTTACGCACGCAATATTTTGTTCGGCGTCCTCAAACCTATCTCGCAAACAAGTGACCCAAAATTATACAAACTACATGGTCCTCAAATATCCGAATCTATCGAAATGGAGTAGTAATCAAGACCTCCAGTGGATTACATGTTATATTCGATTGTTGTTGTTTT